TTTACCAAACAGGAAGTGGCCCTAGCCCTGAGTTTTCTGTTCTAGTGAATGACAACCACTGCCTCCACCAAAGAGTCTCTTGTCCTCTCATCTCAAAAAAGTCTCACCAGCATTTCCTGTATATTTTTAGACCATCTTCAAGCTAACAGTTATGTGTCTTTCGTCAGTATTGCAGGTTACTTAACAGCCACTGTCTGCGGAGTTTGATTTTTCCATTTTAACAGCATTGGGTTGATGTCTTCATAACAGATCTGAATCAAACTTGTTTTCCCCGGCAGGAAATCATACACAATAGAAATATTCTAACAGTTAAGGAAAAAATCAAATAAAATCAGGCAACATCTTCAGAACAGAAATCATAAACTTCCATCTGTAATTCTTATTTCAATTAATCAAAGTGTTTTTTCTTTTTTTTTATTAAATATACATTGCAACTTGCAGTTCACAAGCTAGTTTGTGCATGTTGTGCCCCCTGCTGTTTTGCATTTGCCACTGGTGTGTTTTTATACACATGTACACTAGTACAATTTTAAATTAGAATAAAGAAAAAATATCTTTGGCTAACATTTTGGCAAGGTTCCTTTGGCAAGTTATGAACAAACTTTCTTACAGTAACATTAAAAGTATGTTCGTTTGAAGTTATATGGTCTTTGATAATGTTCTCAAAATTTTAGCACAAAAACTTTTTTGTTGTTGTTGGATGTCTAAACTTTTATAAATGTTACAACTTGTTTCAGAACTTGTTTAGAGACCATTCAAAAGTAGCGTTCCTATAATGTTTGCAGAATGATCTAATGTTCCTTTAATGTTTGCATAACCAAGAAGAAAAGTTGGATGTTTTGAACGTTCAAAGAAAATTCAGAAATAATGTTTTCATAACTTATTGAGAACATTAGCAAAACATTCTTAGAACCAGTGGCGTAGCAAGTCAGCACCAGGCCCATATGCAAAAAAAATTAGTATAGGCCCCCCCCAAACGTTATTGGCTCCAACTCGGTTAACTTATTGTTGATTTTTCTGAAGTGATTAACGTTACGTGTATTCACAAGCTGTTTTATTTACGGTATAAATGCTTGGAAATAATATTTAACGTTTTCAAGTCCATTCATCATTTGTAGCACGCAAGCCACCCAATAATCGCAATAAGCTTTGTGCTTTGTTCCTTATATTAAAACACAAAGTGTCAGCCTTCTGACAAATTTATAATAAAACACTACAAACAATAAATGTGTTTTTACGCTTCTAAATTTGTAGTGAGATGACTATATTCGTCTCAGTTCAAGCAGCATGTTAATCAATGATATTTTCGATATTTGCAGCACGAAATAAACCTGAATAAATATTTGAATGCATGTTGAAAAAATCAGAACAATTTAATACAAAAGACAGTTTCATGAACTCGATTAATTAGAGTTTAAAAAAAACGTCAATAAGCCTGCCTTTTATTGCTGTTTATATGTTAAATGTGAAGACTAACAGGTTGGATGCCACAAACTTTTTATTTCATTTATTTTTATTAATATAAAAAATTTTTGGCGGGGTATAGGTGGAATTCTCACATTAACTTCAAGCAGTAGGCCTATAACCTGATTTTATTATCATAATTTTGACTTTATTCTTAAAATATTATGACATTAATCTTATTTTTCAACATGGTACTAAAATCCCGCTGTAGGCTATTTGTATACTGCATGCAAACACAATCTTGGCACAGAAGGTAATATAAGGAGATATTTGAATTATTTATTAATGAACTAGTATTTTCTGAGTCAGTGTCACAAGATGAAGTTGACGATCCTGACTCTCCATCTCCTCAGGAGGCGCGCCTTTAGAGAGAAATACATCTTTACGGATTAGCCTACATAATGAAAGAGTTTTTGTTTTCTATTTGAATTATTTCATTTCAAAGTATTTAAAGCATTCTATTAGATATATTTATCATGTCTGTGAGGAGGCAAGTATTCGCTGAGTGTCGGTTCATCATTGTGAAGCGCTCCTGCTCAAGACCAAGACGACAGAAAGCGCATTCTGTTTGTTTTCCTTAATTATTTTACAAAAGCACATACTTTTGTTGATATTGTTTGTGAGTGCACACAAATAAAAGTAGACCCTTTACAATTCCAAATGATGCATTACTCTTACCTTTATGAGCAAAAATGACGGCGTATGTTAAGTGTCCACTCTTAAGAAAAAAATTCAAGTGATCGCGCTGGCGCCTCCATGTCCTGCAAAGCGTGCTTCAGCTTCCACTCTCCGCACAAACGACTGTATATGTAAGGAATAATTGACGACGGCCGTTGAATTATTAGAAAATAAATTGCGTTGTGGCCATTACACCTCGGGTGTGCATTATTTTTCTAATAATTCAATGGCCCAGAGTAAATTATTCCGCTTATACTAGGGTTACCACCTGTGTTGGGGAAAGTTACTTTTAAAAGTAATGCATTACAATATTGCGTTACTTCCTAACAAAGTAACTAATTACGTTACTTAGTTACTTTTTATGGAAGTAGTGAGATGACTATATTCGTCTCAGTTCAAGCAGCATGTTAATCAATGATATTTTCGATATTTGCAGCACGAAATAAACCTGAATAAATATTTGAATGCATGTTGAAAAAATCAGAACAATTTAATACAAAAGACTGTTTCATGAACTCGATTAATTAGAGTTTAAAAAAAACGTCAATAAGCCTGCCTTTTATTGCTGTTTATATGTTAAATGTGAAGACTAACAGGTTGGATGCCACAAACTTTTTATTTCATTTATTTTTATTAATATAAAAAATTTTTGGCGGGGTATAGGTGGAATTCTCACATTAACTTCAAGCAGTAGGCCTATAACCTGATTTTATTATCATAATTTTGACTTTATTCTTAAAATATTATGACATTAATCTTATTTTTCAACATGGTACTAAAATCCCGCTGTAGGCTATTTGTATACTGCATGCAAACACAATCTTGGCACAGAAGGTAATATAAGGAGATATTTGAATTATTTATTAATGAACTAGTATTTTCTGAGTCAGTGTCACAAGATGAAGTTGACGATCCTGACTCTCCATCTCCTCAGGAGGCGCGCCTTTAGAGAGAAATACATCTTTACGGATTAGCCTACATAATGAAAGAGTTTTTGTTTTCTATTTGAATTCTTTCATTCCAAAGTATTTAAAGCATTCTATTAGAAATATTTATCATGTCTGTGAGGAGGCAAGTATTCGCTGAGTGTCGGTTCATCATTGTGAAGCGCTCCTGCTCAAGACCAAGACGACAGAAAGCGCATTCTGTTTGTTTTCCTTAATTATTTTACAAAAGCACATACTTTTGTTGATATTGTTTGTGAGTGCACACAAATAAAAGTAGACCCTTTACAATTCCAAATGATGCATTACTCTTACCTTTATGAGCAAAAATGACGGCGTATGTTAAGTGTCCACTCTTAAGAAAAAAATTCAAGTTGGCGCCTCGGCGCCTCCATGTCCTGCAAAGCGTGCTTCAGCTTCCACTCTCCGCACAAACGACTGTATATGTAAGGAAGACGGCCGTTCGGCCGTTGAATTATTAGAAAATAAATTGCGTTGTGGCCATTACACCTCGGGTGTGCATTATTTTTCTAATAATTCAATGGCCCAGAGTAAATTATTCCGCTTATACTAGGGTTACCACCTGTGTTGGGGAAAGTTACTTTTAAAAGTAATGCATTACAATATTGCGTTACTTCCTAACAAAGTAACTAATTACGTTACTTAGTTACTTTTTATGGAAGGTAATGCGTTATGTTACTTTTGCGTTACTTTTTAAATATGAGCAGGGCTTGATTGTTTTTAATATTAGAAGTTCTATTTATAGCAAATGTAAAAGCCCTTTCACAACAAAAAGTGTAATGAATAAACCTCAGGCTGAAGGAAGTAACTTCAGGCTGAAGTAAATTCAGGTCTGTACACTAGAACACAGGAGAAGAAGGTTCAACACTCTTCAGCAATAAAAAAAAACAATGAAGCACAATTGTTAGTTTATCTAAAGTCATTTTTGCTTATTAGTATATGGTTGAACTGGATCATCAAAGGTCAGCAGCAAAGACATTAGTTAATAAAATGGGATTAGATACATTTGTGTTATTTAACATATTTAATTATTGCAGGTTTGTCATATTCTGAGTTTTAATTCATTTTGATGAATACTAAATCTGTTTTTTTTTTGCGAGTGGGATGAATTAATGCACATTCACATTTCATCTATAGAACTAACTACAGTAACATCATGTTCACACAGCGCGCACAACGCCTCTGTACTCCCGATTTTAATTTGTGTTTATCATTTAATGTTGCTTTCCTATGTCTTTTTTAAATAATGTTTATTCATGCAAAACCATGGCCTAAACATGGCTGCTGTGTAAGAAAAGCTGAGTAACGTTATTTCTCATTTGGAGGGAAATATTTGTGCTTATTTACAGATATGACTTGTAAAACCTTTTTTTTTTCGACTAACGTTACCAGCTTATACTTTTTTTAATGGTGAACACGCATATTTAAAAAAAAATTCTGTTTTTTTTTTGCGAGTGGGATGAATTAATGCACATTCACATTTCATCTATAGAACTAACTACAGTAACATCATGTTCACACAGCGCGCACAACGCCTCTGTACTCCCGATTTCTCCCAATATGGGGACATGAGACTTGTCAGTAAATAAATGGGAAAACAAAGTAACTGGCGTTACTTTTTTGTAACTCAGATATTTTCTTGTAAATTAAAAAGTAATGCGTTACTTTACTAGTTACTTGAAAAAAAGTAATCTGAGTACGTAACTCGCATTACTTGTAATGCGTTACCCCCAACACTGAGTTACCACACCTCAAGACATCGATCAGATGATATATTTAAAGGGATTTTACAAAAGCACATACTTTTGTTGATATTGTTTGTGAGTGCACACAAATAAAAGTAGACCCTTTACAATTCCAAATGATGCATTACTCTTACCTTTATGAGCAAAAATGACGGCGTATGTTAAGTGTCCACTCTTAAGAAAAAAATTCAAGTGATCGCGCTGGCGCCTCCATGTCCTGCAAAGCGTGCTTCAGCTTCCACTCTCCGCACAAACGACTGTATATGTAAGGAATAATTGACGACGGCCGTTGAATTATTAGAAAATAAATTGCGTTGTGGCCATTACACCTCGGGTGTGCATTATTTTTCTAATAATTCAATGGCCCAGAGTAAATTATTCCGCTTATACTAGGGTTACCACCTGTGTTGGGGAAAGTTACTTTTAAAAGTAATGCATTACAATATTGCGTTACTTCCTAACAAAGTAACTAATTACGTTACTTAGTTACTTTTTATGGAAGGTAATGCGTTATGTTACTTTTGCGTTACTTTTTAAATATGAGCAGGGCTTGATTGTTTTTAATATTAGAAGTTCTATTTATAGCAAATGTAAAAGCCCTTTCACAACAAAAAGTGTAATGAATAAACCTCAGGCTGAAGGAAGTAACTTCAGGCTGAAGTAAATTCAGGTCTGTACACTAGAACACAGGAGAAGAAGGTTCAACACTCTTCAGCAATAAAAAAAAACAATGAAGCACAATTGTTAGTTTATCTAAAGTCATTTTTGCTTATTAGTATATGGTTGAACTGGATCATCAAAGGTCAGCAGCAAAGACATTAGTTAATAAAATGGGATTAGATACATTTGTGTTATTTAACATATTTAATTATTGCAGGTTTGTCATATTCTGAGTTTTAATTCATTTTGATGAATACTAAATCTGTTTTTTTTTTGCGAGTGGGATGAATTAATGCACATTCACATTTCATCTATAGAACTAACTACAGTAACATCATGTTCACACAGCGCGCACAACGCCTCTGTACTCCCGATTTCTCCCAATATGGGGACATGAGACTTGTCAGTAAATAAATGGGAAAACAAAGTAACTGGCGTTACTTTTTTGTAACTCAGATATTTTCTTGTAAATTAAAAAGTAATGCGTTACTTTACTAGTTACTTGAAAAAAAGTAATCTGAGTACGTAACTCGCATTACTTGTAATGCGTTCCCCCCAACAGTGAGTTACCACACCTCAAGACATCGATCAGATGATATATTTAAAGGGATTCGTCCGGTTTTTGTATTTAAATCGCTATTGTGAGTAGGATTAATTTCTTCCGCAACTCATCCAACGCCTCTTTTGTCATTTTAAAGCTTGTAATGGAGGCTAAAAAAACGTTTATAAAATTAAGAAATTAGATGATTATGTACAAGTGAGGCTCAGTATAAATAAAAAAAGAAACTGTACTGTGTTCACGTGACGGGTCGCCACCATATTGCCTGAACAGTCTGTCATACAGTTTGCTTCATCTAATAATTATGATGATAATAAAAAAAATAATAAATAAACTGGTTTGGTGAAGCAGCAGCATTTAGCAAACAAATACAATGCATCCATGTCGACAGGTGTCAGTATAAAATCTAAAATTAATTATGCTATTGGAATGAATAAGCATAGTGTAGCAAAAACGTACTTAGTCCACCTTCCTAATCAGTTCTACAACTCATCTAGAGCCTTTTAAAATAGTGACATTACCATTGCAGCTCTCACTATACATCAGACTTTGACCGCTGATGTTCCACCCACTGTGGTCACCCCTGAAACCAGCTCTCCTCCAGCTTCTCCTGCAACCCCGGGACCCCCTGAGCGAGGCAGTTACAATGTCACCAATGCTACTGATGCTGTCTGTCTCTTGGCACGGATGGGACTGCAGCTCAAAATTAGCTTTATTTCGAGCTCTAGTGGCAAGGTACTTGCACATATAACTTTCACTTTCATTGGACAAGAGTAGCTTGAAATATTCTGCTTAATATCTCCTTTTCTGTTCAGTGGGTAAGCAAACAAATTGATTATAAATGACAATTTAATTTTCCATTTTTATGCACCAGAGATGACACATAGAAAAAGGACCTGTATGCTTAATTTCTTTGATAAATACCATTTATTTTGCCATTATTAAGATTCTTTGGATTATGTAAATAAAGGGATTTGCTGGGATAAAGGGATTTGTATGACCATTTTATGACTAAGGAATTCAGAATAATGAAGGTTTAGTCCTCATTTGTAAAAGTAATCTAAATATAAACATACCTTGCTTTTCAGACTGTCCAGGAGGTCTTGAACCTGCATCCAAACCTGGTTAAATTCTCTGGATCCTGCGATCCAGACAGTGCAACTCTCATACTCACTGAGGACAACATTACTCTGACTTTCAGCTTCTCTTTGGTAAGTTTCGAATCTCTTCCTATTATTTCCCCTAATGCCCTCTTAAATTATCCAGACCTTGTTGGTGTCATCAAAACATAAAATTTTTCAGAATTCCACTTCAAACAAGTATCATCTTAGTGGGTTGGAGTTGTCAGCTGCATTGCCTGATATGACTAGTAAGTCAGTATTAAATATTCCATGTTTAATAGTTTTAGTTTTTAGTTCTGTGAAAAGCTGAGCAAATTCCTTTTTTGTTTGTTTGTTTTGCCTAGAGCTTTCTTTGGATTATGTAAATAAAGGGATTTGCTGGGATAAAGGGATTTGTATGACCATTTTATGACTAAGGAATTCAGAATAATGAAGGTTTAGTCCTCATTTGTAAAAGTAATCTAAATATAAACATACCTTGCTTTTCAGACTGTCCAGGAGGTCTTGAACCTGCATCCAAACCTGGTTAAATTCTCTGGATCCTGCGATCCAGACAGTGCAACTCTCATACTCACTGAGGACAACATTACTCTGACTTTCAGCTTCTCTTTGGTAAGTTTCGAATCTCTTCCTATTATTTCCCCTAATGCCCTCTTAAATTATCCAGACCTTGTTGGTGTCATCAAAACATAAAATTTTTCAGAATTCCACTTCAAACAAGTATCATCTTAGTGTGTTGGAGTTGTCAGCTGCATTGCCTGATATGACTAGTAAGTCAGTATTAAATATTCCATGTTTAATAGTTTTAGTTTTTAGTTCTGTGAAAAGCTGAGCAAATTCCTTTTTTGTTTGTTTGTTTTGCCTAGAGCACATTGTTTTCAGCTGTTATTACCTCACTAGTGAGAAATGTCATGTGTAGCCTTTAAGTTGCTACACTATATCTGAAGGCTAACTGATCAAATCGTCAGGGCAGCGCTGACAACACCTTTCTCATTTCATAAATGTCAGATCTACAGAATTAATTAATCAATTAATTAATTTATTAAATTTATTAATTACAATATTTGTGGTACTTTACCTTTTTTGTTGCTGATTTTGTTTTTATTTATTTAAAAACAATGTTTTACTGTTTCAGTGTAGCTGAAAATGTCTAATAAGCTTTTTTAAAGGCAGATTCCGCTGTGACAACTTACTTCATATAGAGTGCCAACATTCCACATGATTCTATGAACTGTATCTTTTTTCATGGGTAACATAGTTGGAAATGTTCAATAGCTTTAAAATGTTTCAAGTCTCTATCACGTGTCTATACAGATACTGATATTACAAAATGAATCTAACTTGAGAAATATTCACTGGAGTGAAAAGATTGACCACTAGCTCCAGTCTCCCTCATAACTACTGCCAGTGTTAGATTAATTTCATAAAACAATTTTACCAGGCTCTCTAAATACAGCATTGCAAGCAACATAAAAGGGTAAAAGGTCAGGTATCACAATTCTGTGATGGCATTCTGGGTCCTAAAATCTTTAGCCTCCTTGTAAATTGTCTCTGTAATGTGACATTTAGGAGCGTTCTAAATCACATGTATCCTCATTCCATTGCTCTTTACATAATTTATTTAGATTATGTGCAGCTACTCTATAGCTCTATGTTTTCACCAAATCTCATCATTCTTTAAGTACAGCTTAACCACAGGGAACATACAATTTAGGCAATAACTAACTTGTTTATTCTTGTCAAAATATTAACTATTTATAACTATTTAAATATTAAATATTAAAAAATTAAATAATAATAATTTAAAAAGTCGCTTCTGTTGCACGTTATTCTATACTAAAGTATGCATGAATTTGTATTTTATGATTATTTAAATTATTTTATGACTCCCTGACTATCCAGGAACTAAAAATCTATCACAACACTTACAGAAATATTAATTTATATGAGTGAAATGTGACAAAACTTGAAATGTCGTGCGTAATAGGTAACGTTGGGAGAGCAAATAAACGTTTTTTATGATTTAATTACTTTATTATATTATTATTATATGGATCGCAGCACCCGATGGTGCATTGTGTTCTATCCAAATTCCTTTTTTGTTTGTTTGTTTTGCCTAGAGCACATTGTTTTCAGGAACACCAGTCTGAACTACATGGTGGGAACCCTGGGCCACTCTTATATGTGTCAGAAGGAGAAGACCTTGAGCATTACACCGAATTTCTCTCTCAACACCTTCCAGCTTCAAGTGCAGCCTTTCGGTGTCAATGGAGATTTTGGAGCAGGTATTTCTTTCTCTTTTTTTACCTTTTGTCAGTTTTGTCCTTTAATTCTTCAAAGAATATTCTGGGTTTAACACATTAAGATTAATCGGCAGCATCAAATTCTTAGTTGTCAGAACAACGTGAAGTTGATAAACCCAAGAACTTCTGAATGTCCACATAAGGTTACTCATAAGGTTACTGAGTCGCTCATCCATTTAGAACAGTAGTCTCAAGGGTTTTTAAAGTTAACTAGAACTGATGATTTTCTCAACAAAAAAAAAATCTGTGATAATACTATAGATCTTGGAATACTGATGTGATTAAATAGTGTTTTCCTAAACTTGTTTAAATTTTTTTTTGCCCCCCTCTCTCCTCTCGCTCTGTCTCTGTTCTAGCTGAGGAGTGTGAGCTAGATGAGGACGACATGTTGATTCCCATTATTGTGGGTGCTGCCTTGGCTGTTCTTGTGCTTATAGTGATCCTGGCCTACCTTATTGGCAGGAACAGAAGTCATGCGGGCTACCAGACCATCTAACCTCATGTAATCTTTAAGCCAGGATGTGTAGGCACCACCGATTTCTGCTCTCATCTGGACTCGGCAACACTACTACAACTGCAGCTGCCTAGTTTTTAACCTGCTGTGCCCTCTCCTGGTGTCTCACCCTGCTCAGGTGGACCTGCGCTTCCTGGACTTTCTATTGTATTATGTTAAACATTGTATAATTTTTGCATACTTAAGGGTGCAGGGAAAAATATGCTAAGGTATTGTTTCCAGGAACCAGATTATGCTTATCTAGAGGAATGCCTGGAGTTTGTTGTCATTAAGGCTTAATCTGGGTTTGAAAGCATACGATCTGTTTGATACCTCATATTCTTAAAATTAACCTCATGCGTTTATTTATATAAATACAAGGATTTAGGGAAAGCTGATGATGTTGTTACTGTTACATGCTCTGTCTAAAAGGGACTAGATATTTAACACTACTTCCTGATCCTGATCTCAAACTACTGTCTGTGATTTGTGAAGTTCTCACTTGGGGTTGAACACTATACAAGACTCAACTTTTGAGATTCACCAAATTGGAGAAATATAATTAATTTAATATTGCTAACAAAGCCTTGCATAACAGTGTTCAGTCAGATGTCAATCTGGTACTAAGTTTTAATGAAGAGAAATTCCACGTCTAGCATGGATCTCTCCAGATCTGCTGAGACGGGGTACAGAAGAGAATCTGTTAACTGTTACAAATGGAATATCCACTTTCTAGAGTAGAATACCCTTCAGTGTCACTATATAGCTCTGTTTCCCTCTCGTACTACATATCAAAACTATCTAGCCTGCTTGCTTCCATTTAGGATTGTATTTGCACTCATTCCGAAATGTTAAAAGGGAAATTGTAGAGAGGAAATATTATGGTTTTGCACTACTGGATGGATAAAGGGTACGATTCACACTAACACAACAGGAAGTTCTGAATAACTTGAGGTAGGTTTAGACTATTATAGACCCAGGTAAATGGTTAACTGTTACAAACAAGGAGTGCACTGTTAAATATGCTTTATCATATGGTGAACGAATCTATCTCCTTTCTGATGCGCCTTCATATGGAATGACTGCATATATGGAGTTTTTTTGTGGATATTGAAGTGTTGCTTTGATTGCTATGAAGTTCATGTTGTTTTAAGGGAATGCGATTCTAAGTTTCTAAATAAAATAAAAGACAAGAAAATGAGTTTGCTTGCTAAATATCTTTATTTAGTTAATACATTTAATTTCATCAACCGTAAATGTGAACAGAAAACTTACTGTTATTAACAAGCAAATAATTAAAAAAATGTATTCCTCTTAAAGGCATAGTTCATCTAAAAATTAAAATTCTTTCATAATTTACTAACTTTCAAAATATCTACTTTTGTGTTTGACAGAAAAAAAGACAATCATACGGGTTTGGAATGATATGCCTCCAGTAAATGATAAAATGTTTTGGGTAAACTATTGTTCAAAAATTTGGGGTCAGTAAATAATAATTTAAAAAAGAATACTTTTATTCAGCAAGGATGCATTAAATTGATCAGAGTAAAGACATTTCTAATGTTTCAAAATACTTTTAATTTCCGTATCCATAGAATATTAATATTAAGCAGCACAACTGCTGCTTTTCAACATAATTACAAATGTTGTTCACAAAAATAAGCATATTAGAATGATTTCTGAAGGATCATGTGACAATGAAGACTGGAGTAATGACTGCTGAAAATTCAGCTTTTGCCATGACAGGATTCTCATCTCACATGCTGTCAAAACTGTACGTCCATGTTCACCATTTAGTGTGAAGGAGGGTTTTGGGCAGAACTAATGCAATTCACATCTTCCTGAGTTTAGTAATTGTTGCTGTAGAGAGACCTCCTGGCTCCATAAAGATTTTCTGAAGGTAGATGACAAATAAATATTCTTCAGAACAAACACATCATTATAAAGACTTCTGTAAGTATTACTAGGTGAATAAATAGCATTCACAGAATTTACCTGCATGAATGTGTGGCAGTCCTCTACGTATTCCCCGTGCGTTCGCAGATTTCTGGGAGACTCTGTGCCTGTGAGATAAGGTTCTGATTGCGACGAATCAGCGTCAAAGCCACACGGAACAGGATCTTGGATCCCTCGTAAAAAAGGCAGTCCCATATTCTCAGCACTGTCTGAGAAAAACACATAGCTACCAATCATTACATTCAATATTGCGCCATAATATGCTACATAATACCGAATAATGATTTCATAAAATTTCAAAATTGTTGAATTTTCAAAGCTTACCATTGAACTCTTTTCAGAAAGTACAACCATTGACTTCATCCTCACCTCTACAGGAAGTATGTCAACGTATAGGCAGATGAACCAGCGAGAGACCACCAGAGTCCACATTACATCATGCTGATTCATGACCTGCCAGACAGCAGGAACCTTCATCCTGACAAGTTCTCCAAGCACTTCTTGAGCCCCAGCATTGTTGGTGTGGAATAGTCTAAATAATAATAATAATTAAAAAACATATGCATGGAACATGATGCAGAATGGAATTAGGATGAATTCATAATCTCTGAGTATTTATAACTTAAACAGAATATTCAGATGTCTCCTATGCATGTGGTGAAGTGATTTGAGCACTTCAAAACACTTAACTTTGCAGAGCATTCATTACATTAACATTACAGTTAACAAACATGAAACTGCTGTGTTAAAAGAGCAGTTTAACACAAAATTAACATTTTACCATCATTTACTCACCCTAAAGTTGTTTCAAAATTGTATGACTTTCTTTTTTCTGCCGAACACAAGATATTGATAACCAAAAGTTTTGGTGACCATTGATTTCCCCCATATGGACACATGAATTCTCAAATATTTTGTTTTATCTTCCAGGAGAAAGAAAGTCATAAAGTTTTGGTGACATGAGGGTGAGTAAATGATGACAGAATTTACATTTTAGGGGGGAATCCCTTTAACTATTGGCAAGATTTATTTGGCTATTGGTTAACATTATTTTCCCCGCCCACAAGGTCTAGGTGATGTCATCTAAAAAAGAAAGTTGTTTCAAGTGGAAAAAAGTTATTACGTTTTGATTAATGGAGTAATTACCTATTACATATTAACCTATGCATGATGCTTTGAAGAAGTCCTGGTTACATACAATAGAGGGTAAATGTGACCGACCTGGTAAGATCTTGCCAAGTAAAGCATCCATTAACCAGAATGACTTCTCCTCATCTTTGGTGACGATGAGGAGGTATCCAGCAATGAAGTTCATTCCCTAAAAAGGCAACAAGCGATTCATTTCTGCAGCCTATTGATTTGAATACAGACGGATACAACGGGTTCAGACATTATATTGACAGGATAAACAACACAAAATTACAGCAGTTTAAGAGTGTCTTACTTCCTCACTCATTATAATTGACTATTCTCTAATATACACACAACAAAAAGTTTTAGATTCTCATCTACAGTAGGAACTTCAATACATCCTGGGTTCAAGTGACACTTTCAGTGGCCATGTGTGTAAAAGGGCTTACCTGACAGTAACCAACATCCTTATTGTGGTGTCCATAAGCCAGAAGTACATTAAACATGGCTTTTTGTAAACATGGCTGGGAGGAGGCACGGAACTGAATATTGTCTGGGAAGGTTCTGTGCATATCTAAAAAAATAAATAAATAAATTCAATTTTCAGAAATATTTTTTCCCCATATGTCCTGTTCAGATGATTTAAAATCAGACTTTTAAATAAAACATGGTTTCATGACTGGAGAAATAACTTACCAGCACGTATAACCTCTTCTATTTTAGGGTCATGCTGAGCCTTTAATATAGAATGATAGTAGCCAGGTTTTCTAAAGAACATTTACATTTACATTTTACATTTAAACATGTCGCGTTAATATTCTGGCTCATCTGCATGTCTTTTATTAGCATCACTGTCTTAGCACATTAAACCAGCATTTGAAAATGCTACAAAACTTTCCCCAAGCTCCTAGGATTTGATTTAGCTTGTCATTTGTTGAAATAAATATAAAAAGTACAGTGAGTTCGTGACTGTTCGCTGAATGTGACCCACAATCTGTGATTCTCCTCCGTGGCCGTGGAAAAATGAATATTTATAATGACAACAATTATACTTTGTCATTTAAAAGTTTCCAACAAAGAAATGGATCGACTTCTGTCAACTTGTTGAACACACACTTTTATTTGGATAATGTACCATAAGATGACTGAAGCAGCAGCGGGCGACACTGTTTTCACGCTAATCGGGTAACGTTAAACACTGTAACGTTAAACACTGTAACGTTAAACCAAAATCTATCAAACCTAAGAGAGAAATGCAGTGCATATCATGCAGTGCGATAAATTATCTCAATTCCATAAGCAGGTCCTTCTCGCCTGGTCTCTTCTATACAAGCACAACTTTTCTCCTCATAAATATTTTATATGGAATAACAGAGATATTCTATATAAAAACAGATCTCTTTTCTTCCAGCGCTGGTTTGAGGCAGATCTTTTGTTTGTAAGTCAATTATTTAATGCAAATGGCCTTTTATTAAACTATGAGGAATTTCTTAATCGTTTTAACATTCCTATTACCCCTAAAGAATTTGCTATTGTATTCGATGCCATACCATCTGGAGTTATTAGACAATTTCAACGTATCCCCTACCTTCTATTTGACCTTCTTTAGACCCTGCTGTTACATTGGTGGGGAAATATTGCTTTTCATCCACTTCTTCTAATAGATCAATACGTTTATTATTTCTCAAGGAAAATCTTTCAATTCCAAATGTGACAGTTTATTGGAATGATTTGTTTTTGATATTGCCTGGAGGAAAATTTGGCTGATTCCAAATAGTTACTTAATTACTAATAAGATAAGAGAAGTTTCCTTTCGTATTGTCCATCGTGTATATCCTGTTAATACCTTCTTAAAGAAATTCAAAAAAGATATTGATACAAATTGTAGCACTCAGAGACTATTGTGCATTTATTTTGGCTTTGCCATTACTCTAAATTATTGTGGAAAGACTTTTCCTTGTTTGTTACTGAGAACGTTGATAAGTATTTTTTCTTTACTTTGGGTAAATGTTTTGTTTGGAATTGTTAATGGGAAAAAAGAACATTTACTGAAAAACAAAATATACTTAATCTTCTTATTTTATTAACCAAATTTTATATGCATAAATGTACATTTTCAGTTCAAAAACCACTTTTTTATGTTTTGCTTGCTGAATTGCAGCATTACTTTGGGACTATCTTTAACTCGTGTAACAAGAAGGCTTTAAAAACAATTGAAATTTGTAAGTCTTTTAATCTTTTCCTTTGATGTGATCTTTTGTGATTAGTTATATACCCCTGTCTTGTACCCTGTAGTTTTATTTTTCTTGTTGTTGTTTTTTTCTTATTTCTTTTGTTCTACATTGTGACTGCTTTTATCTTTGTCTATATAATGTTCTTTAAAAAAAAAAGAAAAAAAGAAAAAGATGTATTGATTAGATTTATAAATAAAACCGCATGCAAAAATAACTCAAACATAACATTTAAAACATTTGAATAAATGTGGTTTTGGAATAACATTATTATTTTGATAAAGTATTTCATCAAAGACTATAGAATATTTAAAGGTATTTTGATTTCATCCATAATTTTTCGTTCTCTCTCGATACGATATTTAGTTTTCAGAAGTCCTGTTAAGAATGAAAAAAAAAAAACCCCGAATAGCACTAAAGTTGTTTGAGAAAAATAATTAGCATACATTTCGTAACATTAACTAGTTTTAAAAACTAGTTTTATTTTGTCATCCTTGATGTATTATCTTGATGGCAAAATAAAGGTCCCCTAAGCTTTCCCTACTCAGCAGCTACTGTTGCATAAAATGTTATTTGACTTCTCATAGACACAAAACGTATTTTGAAAAATTAAGTTAGTCTTCCGTTTTTGTGTACTGTGAAAGAAATAGAACGGAAATAAAACAAATCTAATATTTTTTAAATCACGTTTTTGGCTTTTAGACTTTTATTTTAAATAATCTATCCAGCGCCATTTAGGGAAAGAAGAGTTTTGTTTCCTGCTTCAGCTCCAGTGGATGATGATGGGGCTACATTTCTCCACATCTTAACATGTTACAGACTCATTTCTTCTTTTCTCCATGGGTTGAAATCGTTTCCGCCACCTATATACATTAGGACGAACGTGTAATAATATTCTTTCGAACTAGTTTGTGGTAAACGCGAGTGGAAAGGGTCGGATCCGTGGCCGTTCATCGCTACCGTTGTATTTTAAAATGGCTCCAGTTCAAATCGGTTCGGACGGGCAGCTGGTCCCCGCCGGGGGTCCGACCTCAGCCCCGCAGCCTCCGCCGGGAGCCCCGGCCACTCAAGGAGTCCGGCTGAGCCTCCTGATCGAGTTTCTGCTGCAGCGAACCTACCATGAGATCACGCTACTGGCTGAGCTGTGAGTTCATGAGTCATTGGGCAGGCATGTTTAAATAAAGTTAGATTTAGTTTAGCAGTGGCCCTTATGTTTCCTTGACAAATGTTTTGCTTTGCAGATCATGTCAGATCATGTATAAATCTGGATTTTTAAGTTGGTAGAGATTATGTGGGGATGTTGCTGCAACTCTTGCTGACCCATGTATGACTTCTTACTTGGCTATGTTTATTTTGGTTATCCACATCAATATTTTAACATGAAGCTAGTTTATTTGAATGGGGCTTCAGTGGTGACTCTCTGTTTATAACAGCCTAGGTGAATTTATGGTGGTTATAGCGGGTGACACAGGTGTTAAGTTTTATCTATGGAATAAGTCTATTGATATCAAGTATATTGTAATTGCTATAATTGGAGCATATATGGAGATACATATTTTCTTGTTCTGTGGCCTTTATGAATCTTTATTTTACTTCCAAGTTGTCTAGATGTAAAATGTTTTGTGCTGGAATTTGATATTGATATTATTTAATCTTACCTTTATTGATTTTCGCAGACTTCCTCGAAAAACAGACATGGAAAGGTAAGAAACTGCCATGGAGTTTCCACTTAGATTCTCAAAAACATGAATGTAATTTGGTTACACCAGGGGTTTTCAAATGACGGCCCCGAGGCAGTGCCAGGGGTTCATGGAAAAGTTTAGAGAAAAAAAGGTAAAAAGAAATGTTTACTAATTTATTTACTTAGATTAAAATAAGGAAATAAATGAATGGATGTATGAATAAATAAGTAATAATAAAGTACACTACTATAATGAATAGAAAAAAAACCAATTGCAATAATGTTATTTATTTTCCAAATAATATCTTAGACATATTGATAACAATTTTTTTTACAATACAAATTAGGTCTTTATACACACAACTGTATATATGCCTTTTTTCAAATTTTAAGATGGGGGTCCCTCACATGATTTGAGGGTCCTTGGCTTCTAAAAGATAGAAAACCCCTGAGTTACATTATGCTTGCATATGAATGTAACTGACTTAAACCATATCTTACAGGAAAATTGAAATCGTTCAGTTTGCCAGTCGGACACGGCAGCTCTTTGTACGTCTCCTTGCTCTTGTGAAATGGGCAAGTAATGCTGGGAAGGTGGAGAAATGTGCGGTACGTGATTTATTTCTGCGCTTCCAATCGGAGTTATTTTCGTTCTTGTTGTTGTAGTCCTCATTCTTAGCTCTGTTTGCAGATGATCTCATCATTTCTGGATCAACAAGCCTATTTATTTGTTGACACGGCTGACCGACTGGCATCACTGGCCAGGGATGCTTTGGTGCATGCACGTTTGCCTAGTTTTGCCATCCCTTTCGCCATTGATGTACTGACCACAGGGTCTTACCCACGTCTGCCCACGTGTATCCGAGTGAGTAGTCAAACACCGTGTTCAAGAGTTTAAAGTGGATATTATAAATAGGAAATAAACGGCAATGGTGTTATTTTTTCAGGACAAAATTATTCCTCCCGACCCTATAACCAAAGCAGAGAAGCAGACCACGCTAAATCAGCTGAATCAAATCTTGCGACACAGACTAGTCACCACTGACTTGCCCCCACAACTGGCCAACTTAACTGTGGGTAAGTTACAAGCGGCACACATCTACTGGGGATTTTGCCATGGAATAAGTATGTTTCCAAACTTTTTTTTGCTATATTTTCGGTGTGTTTTATTCTGATTATAAATGATCTTACTTGTTTCTATGATCTCTTTGCCTGTGAAGCCAATGGGCGAGTAAAGTTTCGAGTTGAGGGGGAATTTGAAGCCACACTGACAGTGATGGGGGATGATCCTGATATCCCTTGGAGACTTCTTAAACTAGAGATTCTAGTTGAAGACAAGGAAACTGGAGGTAAGATGTACTCGGTGTGTAATAATAAGACCCCTGTGCATGTACCCTTGTTTTCCTTATCTTTTATTTAAATATGTATAAAATAAATAAATATATATTTATATATTTTTTTATTTATTTACTCTACCGTTCAAAAGTTAAGATTTTATAAATAAAATAAAAAAAGACTCTCTCTTATACTCACCAAGGCTGTTTATTTGATCAAAAATAGAGTAAAAACAATTTTCATATAAAAATACGGCATGCAGTTGCTTCAAACAATGGTATTAACATCATTCAGTGTAAATTGTGATAATCGTAATTAATAATCGCAATTACAATTGCAAGGGAATAATCGACAATGATTATGATTTTTGTCATAATCATGCAGCCCTATTTGAAGTAAATCTTTTGTAACAATGTAAAAGTCTTTACTGTCACTTTTGATCAATTTAAGGCATCCTTTTAGTTTATAATTATAAAAATTTATTAATAGTTATTAATTAACAGATCTTTTAAAGTACTACTAATAAGTATTAATATATGATTTATTTAGATGGACGGGCATTGGTACACAGCATGCAGGTGAATTATATCCATGAGTTGGTGCAGTCTCGACTGTTTGGAGATGACAAGCCTCTTCAGGACATGTACAACTGCCTCCGTATCCTTTCAGATCAAGACTAAGATTGGTTTCTGTGATTTAGTAGAACGTTTGATTGGTTGCTCAATTAACAGCCCATGCTTGGGGTTAAAACCATAGCTTTTGTTTAACCAGCCCAAATATTTTGCAATACACTACTAGTCAGTTTAGACACATCTACTCATTTTTATTATCAGTATTTTCTAGAATACTTTTGGAATAATAGTCAAGTCAGCAAAACTATTAAATGGAAGTTTTGTTATAAAAATAAATGTAGTGACAAAAAGCAAACAAATCGAAATAGTTTCCTTAATTAATGGTATTAGACTCATTTTGCCTATCACTGCAGCTGGAGGTGTTGCACTCTCAAACTCTGATGTTGATCAGAGAACGGTGGGGTGATCTAGTGCAGGTGGAGCGCTACGTCCCTGCCAAGTGCTTCACTTTGTCTGTCTGGAAGTAGGTTTGAAAATTTGCCAGATTGCTACAGAGATTTAATTGAATTTTTCTCTTTTGGTTTTGCATCTCATGATTTTTGCCTTGCAGTCAACAGGTCCTGGGTAGAAAGACTGGCACAGCACCTGTGCACAAGGTCACCATCAGAATTGATGAGACAGATGGATCCAAGCCATTACAGATCTCCCATGAGCCTCCACTCCCTGCCTGCGATTCCAGATTAATGGAAAGAGCCATGAAGGTGAGTATCATTGGTTAAAATAATCTCTTTTGTTGATAGTAGCATTGATAGCTCCATAACGACGATCATTGTATGGGGTTTTCTTAGATTATATATGCTGCCATTCAAAAGTTTGGGGTCTGTGGAAAATTAATACTATTAATTTATTCAACAAGGTTACATTAATTTGATCAAAAGTGATAGTAAACACATTAATAATGTTAGGGTTTTGTTAGAACTTTTTATTCTTAAAGGAATCCTTTATTAAGCAGTACAACTGTATCAACATTAATAATAAGAAGAAATGTTTCTTGAGCACTGAATCAGCATATTAGAATGATTTCTGATTGATCATGTGACACATACGTTTGGAGTAACGGTTTCTCACATAAGTGAAGCTTTTTTCAAAAATATTAAAACATTTTTACCAACCCCAAACTTTTGAATGGTTCTGTATAATAACTGTAATGAGGATAAAAGCTTATGTTTGTTTGTGGGCTGTTCTTTCAGATTGATCATCTCTCGGTTGAAAAGCTTTTGATTGATAGTGTACATGCCCGCTCGAATCAGAAACTTCAAGAACTCAAAGCCATCCTAAAAAGTAGTAACCCTAGTGATAACTGTGAGTATTTTACTCCACAAAGATCTTCACCATGATTGTGCTTGCTGCGTTTATTAATTTTTTTTCAAAAATGGAATATAATGTTTTGCCTACTGCTTGGTTACTAAATTGATTTACAACAAATAAGGAAAAAATTACGAGAGGCTGTGTTATATTGTACAGGGAAGCAAATCTAAAATAATATTGTGTGCATTTAAAATGATAATTTATTTTATATTTTATTTTTTTATGTTCTTTATCTTCATTTTTGTATCGTTCTTCAACTAGAAAACATCAAAAATCAAAATCAATTGTTTATTTTATATGCGTTAAGAGGATTCATTTTGTGTGTTTATTTTTCAGCCTTCATAGAGACTGCACTGCCCACACTAGTCATACCAATACTGGAGCCCTGTGGCCGATCTGAGTGCCTCCACATATTTGTCGATTTGCATTCGGGAATGTTTCAGCCAATGCTTTATGGAGTCGGTTAGTCACATATCCATTGGATACACATCAGATCATTTGAACAAATCAACTGCTTAACTTGCCTCGCTTGTTTCTTTCCAGATCAGTCAATGTTGGACGATGTTGAGAAGAATATTAACGATGACATGAAGCGCATCGTCACATGGTTACAACAGCTAAAGTAAGCAGTCAAGCTACCCGTTCTTGGTGTGTTTCAAGTTGTGACAGTGGCTGATGTTGTTATGTTTTTAACAGATTCTGGTTGGGTGAGCAGAGATGTCGACAGTCTGCGAAACATCTTCCCACACTGTGCACAGACACTCTCCACCTATCTAACTTAACCACGCATCCTGTGGGCAACCTGTCAAAACATCGCCTTTTCATCAAACTCACCCGCCTCCCACAATACTATATTGTAAATACTTTAATATTTAATGTATTTATCTCACACATAAAGGCTTTTGTGTAAACTTGAAACATTTAATTAAATCTTGACTGTCCTCAGGTGGTCGAGATGTTTGATGTGTCCAACAATCCAACAAAGCTCTTGTATAAGTACTACTTCCTGTCTGTGAGTCAGATTGAGAGTGAGGATGCACTGCCTTCTGCTCAGCTGCTGCAGCAGTTTAAGCCCAACCTGGAGGAGCTTGTGCAGGATATTTCATCTGGACGAATGGCTCGTCCAGGGGCCAAGAGGAAGGTGGGATACTCAACGGAATATACTGAGCTGTGTGTTCAACATTATTGTTAAACGTTATCATACTCTGTAGTGCCTAAAAATATTTCTTAGCTTTTTCTTCAACATCTTAAAGGGGTCATATGATGCAATTTCAAGTTTTCCTTTCTCTTTGGAGTGTTACAAGCAAGTTGCAAAGACTAAAGTCTCAAACCCAAAGAGATATTCTTCATTAAAGTTAAGACTCGTCCACACCCTCCTAAAACGACTCGTTCTAACACGCCCCACATGTCTGCATCACGATGTGGGAAGATTTGCATAACACCGCCCAAATGTATAAGCAAAGAAAGAAGGCATAACTTTTATTCTCGCTGTAGTATTGTTGCCGCTGCCGCCATGTCGTGGAGACGCTGTGTGTTTTGTTGTGAAAGCGAAACTACTTTGTTTGGTCTTCCAAAAGAGGACACAACTAGAAATCAGTGGTTAAGTTGTATTTACAACACTGTTCCAGAACACTTCAACCCAAGTATTCAGATGTGTGCAGCGCATACGGAGGACGAGGACTGTTTCCTGAGAGAGTAGCCTACAATGCCGGTGTTCCGATGAATTCAGTTCCCCAGTTTCCCCTTCAGTGCGCATGCTGACCCTATACAGCAGGGATCCTCAAATCTGGCCCACGAGATCCACTTTCCTGCAGAGTTTAGCTCTAACCCTAATCAAACACACCTGAGCATGCTAATCAATGTCTTCAGGATCATTAGAAAATCACAGGTAGCTGAGTTTGATCAGGGTTGGAGCTAAACTCTGCAGCGCATTGGACCTCCAGGGCAAGATTTGAGGAACCCTGCTATACAGTCTATGATGCTGACAAATAAAGCTGACTCGCAGCCTGTAAATACGTTTTCATATTTAAAGGATTTTCCACTGATGATTCAAACGTGAGTTTTGAGCAGTGTAGAGTAGCGCTTGTTGTTTGTCGTTTCTCCGATCACAAATGCAGACATGATTCTATGCAACGCAACGCATAAAAATACAGTATAAGTCATTATAATCAGTAATTATGTCCCCACTGGATGCAACAAATGCCTCGTTTATAATGGGTTTTATTGGTTTTGTCTCGTCGCGCCGGAACACGGCATCACAGTATGGTAAGGGGGGTGAAATTTCAGTCACACCCTTGAGGTATTCAGCCAATCACAACGCACTGGATAGCTGGCCAATCAGAGCACACCTCGCTTTTCAGAACGATGAGCTTTGTAAAAATCGACGTGTTTCAGAAAAGCGGGGCATAGAGGAGAAACAATAATGTACAGTATGTGGAAAATAATGTGTTTTTTTTAACCTTAAACCACATAAACACATTTCATTACACAAAATACACAAAATAATGTTATTTTGTAGCAACGTCATATGACCCCTTTAAACCACTTTGTGTTGTTTTTAAAGAGGTGAAGTGGGTGCCTTTTCTTTTGTGCTGTTCAGCTTTTAATTGTATGTAATGAAGTCTTGCTTTGGTCACTCCGTAGTTGTCAGGAGAGCAAAGTGCCATTGAACCAAAGAAACCCAAGAGGTCAGGAGAGATGTGTGCCTTCAATAAGGAGCTGGCCCACCTGGTGGCCATGTGTGACACCAACATGCCTCTCATCGGATTACGCTGTGAGGTACTGCATATCCTTTAGGTGGTGAAAGCAGTGTTATATTATCTGAAGCTATTCGTTGTAAATGTCACATTTTGTGTTTACTGAATGGTCTTTTATTCTCGCAGTTATCCAATATGGAGATTCCTCATCAAGGGGTTCAGGTCGAAGGAGACGGCTGTAGCCATGCCATACGTATTCTGAAGTAAGATTTATCTCTGGTTGTCAATTCAAGCATCTCTGAAGTTAATAAACCAGACTTGTTCTTGTTCTTTGAAACTTTTTATGTGTCAAAGAATTCTAAAAAATGTGTCATGGTTTCCACAAAAAAATATTAAGCAGCACATCTGTTTTAAATGTTGAAAATAAGAAATGTTTATTGAGCATCAAGTAATGGTTGCTGAAAATTCAGCTTTGGTGTCAAAAGAATAAATTGTATTTTAAAATATATTAAAACATTTTTCAATTATAAAAAATATTAGTATACAAAATATTTCACAATATTGCAGTTTTTACTTAAAAAAAAAAAAAAAAAAAAAATCTAATTAATGCAAGCCTGCTGAGGATGAGACCTCTTTCAAAAATGTATAAAAAAAATCTTACTGACCCCAACTTTTGATGGTAGTTTACCAATTGTTTTCCTTCTCTACCTCAGGGTTCCACATTGTAAGGGAGTGAGTAAGGAAACGAGAAAAGCTCTGGAGCGCTCCCTGCTGGACTGTACGTTCAGACTACAGGGCCGGAATAATCGCACATGGGTGGCAGATTTAGTTTTCTCCAGTTGTCCGCTCAACAGCACAGCCAACAAAGAGCAAGGTAAAGATAGTTAATTTTCCTCTAACAGCTTTTTAAAAAGTTAAGTATGTGTCTTTTACAATATTTTCTGTCTATTTCAATTCAGCTTCCACGCGGCATGTATACCTGACTTATGAGAATCCTCTTTCGGAGCCGGTGGGTGGCAGGAAGGTGGTGGAGATGTTCCTGAACGACTGGAACAGCATTAATCAGCTTTATGAATGTGTGCTGGAGTTCTCACGCGCTTTACCTGGTAGGTACCACTGTTCTAACTAGTTGCATCTCTTGCATTTTAATTTGAGTTTTTGTAATAACCATGCTAGCTATGATTTGTATTCTTTTGGTGCCATAGTACATTTGAAGTATTAAATTATTACATCTATTTTAAATTCCTTCACAGGAATACAAATATATTAAAATCGTTTTTTTTTTAATACAATTTTATTTTAAGTTTTGTTATTTAAATTTTTTTATAATTTCACAGTATTACTGTTTTACTATGTTTTTATCAAATAAATGCAAACTTGTGAGCATAAAGACTTCTTTCATGAACATTAAAAAAATCTTACCAACCCCAAACCTTTGAATGTTATTATAGGTATGAAAAAACTCTTGACTTATGAATGGTTTGAAGAACTTAAATTGCTTATAATTAATAATCTACATTTTCCAGAAATGCCCTCCTATTTGAGCCTTTTCTCAGAGATACGGCTGTACAATTACCGAAAGCTGGTTCTGTGCTATGGCAACACCAAAGGCAGCTCGGTAAAAACCTTTTCATCTTGTTAAAATGCAGACGTTAAAGATCCTTAATCTCTTTATTTAGTGATTTCATTTACTACAAGTCCCTCTTTCTTTCAGGTGACGATACAGTGGAACTCAGTAACCCAGCGTTACCATCTGGCCCTGGGGACTGTGGGGCCCAATTCAGGCTGTAGCAACTGTCACAACATAATTCTTCACCAACTTCAAGAAATGTTCAACAAGACACCCAATGTAGTACAACTTCTACAGGTATCTAGAGCCTTGACACTAAACGTCATACTTCATTTACTTACTAAAATTAAAGCGGTCACTGGTCATTGAACTGTATTTTGTAGTTGTATTATTTGTATTCATATTCACCATATTGTATTTTTATTTACATTTAACATATTGTCAATATGTTTTTAAAACATAAAATTGTTAACTGACCGATTTGGAGTGGATATTTATGGAAGCATATAGGTAGTGAAATTCAATTTAAAATGCAATATGCAAAATGGCAATGTATTTCTGTATTTAAATTTACATTTTCCATTACCCATACATGCAAAGTTTGTTGCAAAAGGAAAATGACAATGAAATTATATAATTTACATTTGCCATTTCCAACAGTAGTCTTAATATGTAAATTGCATGCACATTTGAACGCTTTATAAGTTGCACAATTTGATTTGATATGTGTAACATGTTCAAGCAGAAATGGAAGCAACATGATCATTTAAATGCTATTTCTCCTAAATGCATTTAGACTAACAGTTAGAACACTAGAACATTGCATTTTCATCATGACGCTGTGGGATATTTGTAGCAAAATTCAATTTGAAAATGCATTCCGAGCTGACCACGCCCACCCTCCGTCAATCATTGCTTCAAGGCAGGGATTGGCGGAAGCGTGGTACGTTTGGATCGTTTGAAACATGGTGGCTGGAGATCTGATAATATCGTTGAATTCACTGGCAAATGAAGTGGAGCGTGAACAGAGAAATATATGAAGCATATTCCATGCTAAAATCAAACGTTCGAACAAACGACCGACCGACCGATCGAACTTCTACCGAACATCTTGAGCTTTGAGCATCTTACACTGCGGGTGATCCACGTGATGCCAGCGTCTTGAAATTAGCTGGGGTTTAAACATTTAAGGAGC